AAATAAATTAACTAACATTAAATTTGAATGCCTATACAAAACTGGAAATAGGCTAAGTAAACATGTATAATATGTAACCAAATAAATAAGAAACTTGGAGCTTGGAGGCACGGCATACAACTTGATGTAAAAATAAATAAATAAATGACACCAAGTTTAAATAAAGTAAAAATCAGCAAACAATATGGAACCAATTAAATGAGAAACGAATGTTTAAAAAAACTTATAATGTTACAAAAGATTTATATTTTAAATAAATGCTGTTGTTTTGAACTTACAGTTAAAGAATAAAAATATTTCCCCAAAAATATTAAGCAGAACAGCTGTTTATCAACTAGGACGCAGAATTTTGCAATGAAAAAAGTGACAGTAAAGCATTTATAATGTCCTAAAATATATATTTCACATCAATGTTTCTATTCATCAAACAATCCTGAAAAAATGTATCATTGGTTTCCACAAAAATATTAAGAAGCAAAGCTATTTTCAACATTGCTATTAATAATAATGTTTCTTGAGCATCAAATCATCATGTTGGAATAATTTCTGAAGGATCATGTGACACTGAAGACTGGAGTAATGATGCTGAAAAATAAGCTTTGCCATCACAGGAATAAATTAGATTTAAAAATGTTAAAATTGAAAACAGTTATTTTAAATTATGACGTCACAACATATCTATTTAGATTTTTTAATAAAATAAATGCATCTTTGGTGTGCATAAGAGACCTTTTTTCAAAAACTTATGGGACCCCAAACTTTTGAACAGTATATATTATAAATATTTATTTATTTTAATAAATATTTATAATATTTCAGTTAATTTAAATATTAATTTATTTAACAATTGATGGCTAATATATGTAATGATACAATTCAATACATTTATATTTAATCAAAATAAATTTATTATAATGATTGTTCTGCAGATTAACATAGGATATATGAGGCTTAATTACTATATTGGCTTGTTTCTTTTTGTGCCGTTCTCAGACTGAAAACTCGACCAAGCTCAACAAATGTTCTTCTTTGTTCTCCCGTATCTACGAGGGCTTTGAGCTCTCTCTGCTTTCACACCGAGGCTTCCTCACTTATTCCGTGGCCATCACCTTATTCAATGCCGGCTACTTCATCCCTTACATTCATCTGGTCGCCCACAGCCGTCACATTGGTTTCACTGAGTACCAGGCAGCCTTTGTAATCTCTGTAACTGGTGTGGCAGACATCATGAGCCGTGTAGCCTCCGGCTGGTTCTCGGACCTGGGCAAAATGCGGATGCAGCACATGCTGGTGGTGTGGACTGGGTTACTGGGGCTCTTTCTGATGCTCATTCCTGTTGCCGTGGTTTACTCGGGACTGTTGGTTGTCAGTGGGGTCTATGGGTTTTGTGCAGGAGCGATGACGCCGCTGGCGTTTGCGCTGGTGCCGGAAATCGTAGGTATAGAGCGAATGCTGGGAGCCCTTGGCCTGCTGCAGCTCATAGAGAGCGTCGGAGGGCTGCTGGGAGCGCCACTGTCTGGTAGGAGCTCATGAGATCATCACAATAGTTTTATTTAAAGGAAATGTTCACTCAAAAATTAAAAAATTTTTGCTGAAAATGTAATCACCCTCATGCCATCCAAGATGTAGATAAGTTTGTTTCTTCATCGAACAAATTTGGAGAAATTAAGCATTTCATCACTTGCTCACCAATGGATCCTCTACAGTGAATGGGTGCCGTCAGAATGAGAGCTGATAAAAACATCACAATAATCCACATGACTCCAATTTGTCTTGGGAAGTGAAAAGCTGCAGGTTTGTAGGAAACAAATCCAACATTAACACATTTTAAACCTAAAACGGTTGCTTCCGACTAAAATATGAGTCCTCTATCCATAACATTGCTCTCTCCATTAAAAAAAATGGTCTTGTCTGAATCATGAGAGAAATATGCTCAGATCAAGCACTGTTACAAGCAAACAGTTATAAACATTTCAAAACAAATATGTTGGTAAATTTTGATGTGAGTGGACAACAGCGGATGGAATTTCTGGAGGAGGCATTATTATGGATTTTGGACTCATATTTTAGCCAGAAATGACGCTTTAAAGTTAAAATGCCTTAAAGATGGATTTGTTATGAACACAGAGCTTTTCACTTCACAAGAAGTTAATTGATGGACTGGAGTTGTGTGGATGCTTATGGATTATTGTGATGTTTTTATGAGCTGTTTGGACTCTCATTCTGACGGCACCCATTCACTGCAGAGGATCCATTAGTGAGCAAGTGATATAATGCCAAATTCCTCCAAATCTGTTCCCGTGAAGAAACAAACTAATCTAAATCTTATATGGCCTGAGGATAAGTACATTTTCAGCAAATATTCATTTTTGGTTGAACTATTCCTGTAAAAGGCCAACAAAATTGATTTTGATCTTTAGGTTTACAATCAGCATTGAAATGATTGTTCCATCTCCATTTTTCCCTCCCAGGCTGGCTGAAGGACTATACTGGGATGTACATGGTATCTTTTATCGCTGCTGGAAGTTTCCTCGTGTTAGGTATGTTAGTTACAATGACTCTTCCCTATTTCTGGTCTTGTACGGCCCCTCCACCCCCATCACCTTTAAAGAAGAAGTCTCAGCATGAATCCATTGAAGATGGACTTCTCAAACAAACTCTGTCCTCAAATTCTGTACCTGAGATACTCTGTCCCTTGGATGATATACCCTACTTGGATAAGGAGTAAAAGGTGTGTTGGAAGAGTGATGTTACACATCTAGTGCAAGAATGAGAAGAAATACCTCAGGAAATGATGCTTCATACTAATTTAGGGAAAATATTTAGATTTTTTTAGAAGGATATTTTGCATTGTCAGACAGGATATAGGCAACTATTGGCATTGGAATCACAAATCATATTGCACTGAATGGTTTTATACCAGATTTTGCAGTAAAACTTTTTGTGGGTAATTTCAGTTAGTGAAATGTCCCCCATGCCAAAGAAAAATTATGTGAAATTTGCTATTAGTGCTTTTCGCCTAATAACAAGACAATCAATTTGATGGAAGTTTTGAGAGCGTTTGAAAAGCAACAGTCAGTTTACAGCTCAAATTTACAGTTAGCCTAGACAGAACAAATCTGTCTTAATGTTAAATCTGGATTGTTTACTCATTCCTTATATATATACAAGTAGGCAAACACGTTTTTGGACATGCAACAAAAATTATTGCACTTCAAAAGTTGTATAACGGGATAATAGCAGCATAAATCCTTATGACATAAATGCAGTAAAGTATCTTTGCAGTTATCAAGACCAGCTTTTCTTTTTGATTAGATAATAATGGCATTTTATGGTTGCCACAGTCAGACACCACAGCTGCAGCTGTACAGTGTAATTTTAGTATAATTTAGATACTGTTATAGTTTTTATATTTTCAGTTTTCATTTTATTTAGCTTTACTGATCAATCAACAGTATCCTTACTGCAACTGTATCCATATCCTGATGTAGAGTTAATCTTTCTTAGACTTTCAAAATATGCAAAAAGTTTGCATTTGGAAAGCTGTCAGTACTCGTTCTAAAAAGCCATCTTTATAGTTATACAAATAATTTTAGAGATACTTTATTAATAGCTCTAGTATTTTTCTGTTCTGAAATCATTATCTTTTTTATTTAAAAATATATTACATTGAATTAAATTATTATTAATTTAAATTAAATTATTTTATTATTTTAATTTTAAAAATATTGTCATAGTTTTCCCTTGTCAATTCAAAATCACCATCAAATAAGGATTTGTGCTGATATTGTCCAAATACCCCACTTTGACTTGACCGTTTCTGAATTTGAGGGCACAGTATATTAAATACCATGGTATAACACTGTACCTTGGTAGTGCAATGTTACTATTTCTAAGAGTATGCTGGCAAAATACTATTTATTTTAACTGATTGTTTTAATATTTTATTAAAATTTTTGTATTGTAAATTATTGTGACACACTTCACCTCCGGCCTTCCCTGACAGGAATTTAATTATGATGCACAAATACAGCTTCAGGGTTTGGTGGAAAGACTGATGCTTGTGGTTTTTACTGTTACTGAGGAGCATTTTGTATTCATGGCTAGTAAAACCTGAAGGCTGCTAGCAAGAGTTTTCTAGATTCCAAACCAGCTTTTAACTGCTTAGTCATCATCACATATCTGTCACATCAAGCAAAAGCTAAAATGAAGGCAAAACATTTTCTTTTGCCAGTAAGTTTGGTGCTGGAGGCTACTTTAGTACAGTATACAAAAGCAGGAAGGCAAGCTAAATGCTAACACAATGCTAATCCTTTTCTGCTCATGTAGAGCATTTTTCTTTCACTTTTTTTACACACAACTTGCTGTACCTTACGTTGTTCTTTAGTTGCATATGGAGGAATATGATGATCACACATTGTTAATGTTACTAGCATTGTCGGAGACATGGCATTTTAATGTTGTCTTTTCAGGGTCAAACTGGACCATGTGATTTGTGTATTACATTGATACTTTTTTAAATATTGTATGATGGGAATCTTGCCCAACATAAAGGGCTTTTACTGTGATCTTCAAGATCCAGGGTTCAGAGTGAATATTGACTTACATTTTCCACTGAGGTCGCTGACGTAAACAAATTCACTTAGAAATCATTGACCAAACTAAAGTCTTTGTGTTACACATTACATTCTTCAGCGCCTTTTTGTTTTCATTTTAAATGTTTATTTCACTTAGTGCAAGAGCTTTACTGTGCACAAACTGGTGTAGGTTCATTTAAACCTTGTCAGTTCTCTACTTCCCATGGGAAAACCTTGAATACTAGTCACTAATGCTGTTTTAAAGATACACTTCTCATAAAACCAAACACGTGAGCCTGAGAGTCAATGAGCTCAGCTACAGCTAGACTTTGCTTTCTCATGTGAGAGGCCCTTATTGCTGTGAGATTAACAGCACTGCCTTTACACACGGTTGTCTTCAAATGCACTGTATTAATGCAATTATACATGCTCTTTAGCCTATTGACCTCAATATGCTTGCATATATGAGAAGTGAGACTTGGATGAATTTGGATCAGTTAAGTCATATTTTATAGCTTTGGAACTACACTGCACAAGATGACTTTTGATCTAATTAAAAGGTTGAATGAAATTTGCCATCTGAGCCAGTCGGGTAGTTTTACCTTTTACCTTTAATCAAGTTACCAGCCCATATCTTGTGCGTTATGTTTTAATTTTCCAAGAAGCGCACAGCATGGCAAGACGGGTTTTACTGGAACAGTACAGTATAAAACTGTGTTTTAGGTAAACAGATTTGTGTTTTAATGTGGTTGAATAAAAGGCTATTTCTGTTTTTATTGTACTATTGTCTCCTTGTTATATACAGTGGGTACGGAAAGTATTCAGTTCTTCATAGGTTCTAATCTAATATTATGATCTTTTTATGAAGAATTATGGTATGAAACATAATTTAAACTAAGATATTGTGACAGAAGTACAGGAACATGGAACTGAGCTGGATATATTAAAAATATATACAAATAATTGATATATCCATGTGTGAAGTCAGGTTCGTTCAAAAGTTTGAGGTTGGTAAATTTTTTTAGATTTTTTGAAAAAAGTCTTATGCTTACCAAAGCTGCATTCATTTGATCAAAAATACAGTAATAGTGTGAAATATTAGAACTAAAAAAATGTTTTAATTTATTCCTGTGATGGCAAAGCTGAATTTTCAGCATCATTACTCCAGTCTTCAGTGTCACACGATTCTTCAGAAATCATTCCGATATGCTGATTTGGTGCTCAAGAAACATTTCTGATTATTATCAATGTTGAAAACTGCTTAATATTTTTGAGGAAACTGTAGTGCACATTGTTTCAGAATTATTTGATTAATAGAAAGTTCAAGAGAATAGCATTTATTTAAAATATAAATATTTTGTAACATCATACATGTCTTTACTGCCACTTTTTGAACAATTTACTGTGCCCTTGATGAATAAAACTACTGAGGAACAAAAAAAAAATCTTAGACCCCAAACTTTGAATGGTAGTTTAAGTGTTAATGGTGTTTTAATTCTCAAAAATGTAAGTCGCATAATAAGTCATGAATCATTTCTTTATTTCGCTACACATTCTACCGTTTTCACGGTTATTCATTTATACATGTTGTTTAGAACATTGCATGCTCACAAAACACAACAATTGACCATTTTCAAACGGGTTGTTCTTATAAAAAGAGAAATTAAAATTATAAAGAAAAGAAAATTAAAATTATACAGGAGAACCAAGAAAACAGTGATCTCTCACCCAAAGTAACAAGTACATTCAAGTTGCATTAACACTGTGGCTCACAACATAGTGAATAAAAAGAAGAAAAGCAACTTGTCCACTGAAAATCATCTGAATGAGGAAAAATTCATTGCCATCTAAATGAGAAACACAGAAAAGTCCACTCCACCTCTACAGTCTGGCTTGTTGTCTTGCTTTCATACCATTTGGAATGTAAACTTGCTCAAATTATAAATTATTCGGCTACAGAACATCTGTGAAAAGAAGAAATAACTAACAGGAAACACCAAATGACTGATGACATCCTAAAGCCTAAACCGGGATAAATACGCAAAAACCCAGATGTTTAGACCCACACTCATGTATGCCAGACAAACCAAATGATGCAGCATTTCATTTAGTCTACTGGAGTGAGTGTGTGTGTGTGTGTGTGTGTGTGTGTGTGATTGTGTGTGTGTGTGTGTGTGTGTGTGTGTGTGTATTGGTGTAACATTGACATCTAGTGGTCAGGTGGTTCATTTCATGTCAGCGCTACGGCGCTTAAGCTTCTCTGGATTGTTGGAGGCCATTTGGGAGAAATCCCTGAAAATGTCATGATAGGTATCATCACCTGTAGGAGGAAAGAAATACATAGAAAAAAAATATTAGCTGAACATTGTCTTACAATCATATTCTTTATGAGAGTGAATATTATACCCCTGTGTGTGGAAAGTGATTGAAACCTGGAGTCTAAAGAGTTTAACAAGGTCAGCTTGAGAACACCACCACCCAGAGGAAGAGCTTTGATTTGGATTTATAACTGTACATAAGTGCAGTGGTTATGCATACATAAAAGCATAGGGAAGCAGTAAATTACCTGTAGCACGCAGTGCAGAGGACACACACTGCAAGCAGTAGACACCTGGCCACCCGTCTCAGGACATGCACATACACGCACGCACGCACAAACAGCAAAAACAGATTTGTATACAGAGACACAGATGGACAAACTGCCTTATACAAGCCCCACAGCAAAACAACAGATGCAAAAAGCATACGCACCACAAGAAAGCACACCTGTAAAAATCTGGCACTGCAATAAGACTATCAGATTCAGAGTAACAGAATTCTACTGGAAAGCCAAATATTACAAGTGATCATAACAAATGATCACCATGAACTGAGCTTTAGACTGCATTTGCAGTTTGATGTTTTGAATATAGTTATGATGGTCAGTTGTAAACATGTTGGTTGAATGGTGATGATACCCCATACAATGCCAAATATCCATAACCACACCATAACAGCTGAATCATTTGTATTTTCTGAAGGAATTACTAGTGCTTGCAAGGCAACATCATTAGATAAATGGTATGATTAGATAAATAATTAGACAATTTAAGAGGGAGGATGATAGAACAATAGAATGTTAGAACGATAGATAGAACGATGGATGGATGGATAGATTTGAACACTGTGTTAATGTAAGTCAATGGGAGCTTTTCTAAAATAGGTTATGTAAAAAAGTGGGGTCTATATGTTAGAAAATTCAAGTTGAATTGTGTAATTGTGGCAAATTGTAAAGAAAAATTACAAGAAGAAGAGAAATTTCAGCATGCTGATGTCTTGCAAGCACTGTAATGACCGGCTGTGGAGTTTATCCTTTACATTATGTTAAACAAAGTTGTAATGCCTGATCAGGTCTGAATGAACATTAAATAAATCAAATACAACTTGTTAGTGGAGCAGTATTCAGATTTTTCAAACATCTGAAGCCTATGATGCCACTATACATTCCACTTAAGGTGTTTCTAATAGCTGAATAAACACCAGCTATACAAACAAGATCAGATTTGTGTAAATGCAAAATGTCACATTACACATGCAAAACCATACTCCGTACAAACAGTACTGATACCACCTAATAAAACATACTACATAACATTTTATCAAAACATTACCATAGGTACTAAAAGCACTGAACAGAAGTCCAATTCGTTCCTTGCTACCGATGCACAGTTATCTATTAACATTCGGTGTTTCTATACATTTTAAAGTGCTTTATCAAAGTGCTCAAATCCACATACTGTCCTTTCTTTTTTTAATTCTCTGTTAAGCTCGGTTTTCAATTTTAAATGTACAGTCAGTTAATTCTGGCCACCTGGTGCCCGGCCACTGAGATGGTTCTTGATAGTTTGAAAGCTTTTCTTAGTGTGTCCAATCACAGACCCAGTCCCGCCCCCACCACTAGAGCCCCGCCCCTCAGAATGACCTGATGGAGTGCCATCCATCTCCCGCATCTCCTTGTTCATCTTGGCTATCCGGAGTCTAGGAGGAAAAGCACAGTGGATGATAGGTTAATTGAGTTATTAGCAGGAAGCACCTCATCAAATGTACTGTAAGCTAATTAGTGTCCTTTTCAGCTGATACTCTCTAAGACTACTTACAGCGTGACGATGTCAGCGTTGGCATTATCTATGGCAATGCCGATTGGGTCCCTGTCATCAATGTCTTTTGCATTGTAGTCCGCTCCTCTCTTAAGAAACAGACACACCAACCTACGACAACACAGAGAAACGTTTGAGTGACATGTTTGACAGTACATGTATAACAGCAACACTGAGTATCGATACTGATTTGATTCAGTTCGTGATTCATTTTTTATTCTGATTTCATATAGGTCTGATTCGATTCTGATTCATTTGGACATACAGTATAATGTCCAATTTGCTTACATATGAAAAAAATTCTAAGGGAACCTTTAAAATCGGAACATTACAAAAATATTGATTTTTAAAATTACTAACAAGGCCCAAACTATGCAGTGCACTTTCTATTATTTTCATTTTGTACTTTAATAGATAATAATCAACAGCCAAAACTGCTCTTTGGATACTATCTGAAGTAAAATTTAAATTGTATTTCTTATGTATAACTGGCATTGTAACAATATGCAAATTATTATTAAATTATGAACTCCAATTAAAGAGTATAAAAAGGTTGTTTGTGTGATTGCACCATATGTTTTTTATTCACCAAAAAAACCTTTAAAAGAATCATTCAGTGAATCAGTCTACACTAGTAGTGCAATATTATAGTGCTATGTCTCATATTCTATCAAATAAAAATTAAGGTATTCATTTAAATTATTTTCTTCTGTTTTTATTTCTTTAAATCTTTTTTATGATTAATTTATATATATATATATAACCCAAACAATGCAGTACATTTTCATCTATTTCATTTTTGTCCTTGAACAGATGCTATATATATGACTTATTTTGCAAAAAGGCTTTACATTCATCTGCAATATCATATATTCAACAGCAGGGTGCACCACTGCTGAAAAGTGTTGCAGGAAACACTGACGGAGAGATCAATCTTAGGATTTTAAGAATCAGTATTGCAATTGTTCAAATGAAGAATAATCAGAATTATTCAGAAAAACTACTTTTTTTTTTTTTTTTACCCAAACCTAGTATCTAAGCCTGTGTTACCCTGTATGTCCTAGTATGGTAGCATGATGTAGTGGTCTCCTCCCGTTTGAGTCCACCTGGTTAACATTAGCACCGTTCTGTAGGAGAAACTCACAGGCTGCCAAGGAATTCTGCAGAGAGAAATACACAGTAATTATTCACTGTAACACTTATGCAATACACACTCAGTCTCAGATCATGAACAATGGACTCTCTCTCTCTCACACACACACACACACACACACACACACACTTACAACCATAGCGGCTTGTATTAGTGGAGTTTTGCTGTCTTCAGCCACATTGACCCAGTTGACATCAGCGCCGTGCGCCAGAGCGTCTGCCATGAGAGGGAAATGCTGCATTGCTGCAGATCGATACAGCAAAGCCCCGGGATGAAGACCACTCAGATCCTCCTCTTCATTATTCTCTGTACATAGAGAGTGAGAGTGAGGAGTTTGTGTGGTCAAATGGATGTATGAACATCATATCTGTGTGTGTGTGTGTGTGTGTGTGTGTAACCTTTATGAGAGCTGGAATTGTTCTTCATTATGTCACTTGGGTTCAGGCCTGTAGGGGAAACATCAAGTAACAGCCCACTGATTAGATCAGTAGAAACTGGAAGAGACACTTATTTTCATTGTTTCAATTTACTAGTGTCTTCATGCTTGTTTGCGTGTCAAAACTACAGTTACTACAGTATTGCTTTCTTTCCTGTTTTTAATGCAATTTTCAGATTTACTGTATATTTCAGTTTGGTTATTGTTTATTTTGATAGTGACAGTTTAGGTTTCATTTTATAGCCATATTTCTATTTAGTTTTCATATATTTCTTGTTTAAGTGATAACAGTTAATGAATTAGTTAGGGAAGCAACAGAGTTTAAATTTACTTCTCAAAAAACACAGACCTTTGTGTATAGACACCACATATGTATTGGTTCTCATACTTTATGACCTATAAATTTCCATGTTTTTTTCCAGTCGTTTGTGACAAATACAGAGGTTACACTCACATATTTCTGTCACTGGCAATAGAAATTCCAATGACTTCTTTAAATTGTATTCATTTCCATGACTTTTCCATGACCTTTTTTAAAGAATGTATTAATTTCCATGGCAGTTGTGGAATCAATAAAATTATGATCAATAAATTTACATGTTTTTTTCCCAGTCATTTGTGACAAATACTGAGGTTACACTCACATGTTTTCTATATTTATACTGACTACAGAAATTCCAATGACCTTTTAAAATTTTATTAATTTCCATGATTTTTCCATTAACTTTTTTTAAAGACTGTACTAATTTCCATCATGGCTATTCCATTACCTTTTTAAAGATTTTATTCATTTCCATGACTTGCAGATTTTCCAAAGTTTAATGTCACTCTAATGCATTATTTCATTTACACTGAATTATTACCCAGCTGCATCTTCAGGATTTCAGTTGCATCGTTTAAAAACAGAACCACAAGAGGATACAGTTTAATGTTCACGAAACCGACCTTGACTCAGCATACTTGTGCACTCTTGACTGCAAGCTACATGAAAGTTTGTTTATAACAGAATGCAAGGTTCTCTCTGGTGTCTGTGGTATAATTAGTGTCCATCTTTGTTATCAGTATCAGTAAATTTACTGGCATCTCATTGCCATCTGCGTGTAGGATGTCTTCCCCCACACAGACACACAGGTCAGGTTATTCCATGTGAGGAGTGTTTGAGGACTACTAAAACAGTTATTTATGTTTAGTTAGTTTTTCAACTACTAGTTTTAGTGTAGCTGCACTTTAGTTTTTCATTTATTTTACATTAAAGGAATAATTAATAATAAATGACTCACGCTCAGGCCATCCATGATGTAGGATCGGAATAAATTTGGAGAATTTTAGCATTGTATCACTTGCTCAGCAATGGATGCTCTGCAGTGAATGGGTGCCGTCAGAATGAGAGTCCAAACAGCTGATAAAAACATCACAATAATCCACAAGTAATCCACACCACTCCAGTCCATCAGTTAACTTCTTATGAAGCAAAAATCTGCTTGGACTCTTATTCTGACGGCATTCATTCACTGCAGAGGATCCACTGGTAAGCAAGTGATATAATGCTAAATTTCTCCAAATCTGCTCTGGTTAAGAAACAAACTCTTCAACGTCTTGAATGTTCTGAGGTTGATTAAATTTTCTGCAAATTTTCATTTTTGGTTGAACTATTCATTTATTTATTTTTTGTTATTTCAGTTTTTTTTTTTTTACCCAATAGTTTTTGTCTTGTATTACAATAACATACTATGTCTTTCTATGCAGAATTGTAGAGGATAAACAAAGATAAATACAGTTTCTTGGGCGCATGACTGTGCATGTAAATGTGTAAATTCTAGCATGTTTTTTGGCATGTGTGTCTGTGTACCTGTGAGTCGTGGCAGAGTGGCTCCGGTGGGTTT